TCTGATCATATTGCGGAGTCACGTTGGTTATATCGCAAATTCTGATCATATTGCGGAGTCACGTTGGTTATATCGCACATTCTGATCATATTGCGGAGTCACGTTGGTTATATCGCAAATTCTGATCATATTGCGGAGTCACGTTGGTTATATCGCACATTCTGGTCATATTGCGGAGTCACGTTGGTTATATCGCGAATTCTGGATATATTGTGGAGTCAGGTTGATTATATCTTAATGCTGTTTATACTACAGAGTCGTCTTGATTATATAACAAATGCTGTTTATATTAAAAATGTTTGATAGATCTAAAGCCACGAGACGTTTGGTTATATCGCGAAGACAATTTGGTTAACATAGCGGAACATCACTGTACCACGAAATCTAGTTTTAATTCAAAGACACGTCTGTTTATTTATGCTGTGTGGACACTTTGGTTGTTCAAAACTGATCTTCATTATATCGCGAAGACACGTTCAACTTGGTTATTCTTCAAGTGGGGCCAGATTATACAGCAAAGACAAATTGGTTGTTCTTCGCGAAACTCAGTCATATCAGGAAATTCCTGTTCTTTAGCGAAGACATATTTGTTTCTAAAACTTGTTGTTGCGGATTGCCATTATGGCGGCAATGGTCGTAATCGCTGCGGCGTTAGTGAAGATTGAAATAAACTTTTGGTATAAAAAAAAAAAAAAAAAAAAAACTTGTTATCCTAAAAATAACGAATCAATTACACGCAATTTTAGCAGTGACTTTGAACTTTCAGAAATTCAGTTCAACGAGGAGATTAGAAGGACAACAAAGAACTTGAATATACAAGTAGAGAGTACCTTTCATCAACCAATCCATTGTAATGTTTGACTGAATCAGTAATAACAGCGGGAAAAAAACAAATAATTGCACTTCTATACAAAGGTTAGTGATTTTTCAATCGCAGTCGGACAAAAACAACAACGCAACTTAATTAAACAACAATAACGTGAACGTAATAGTGGTACAATCTGTGGCAATATTATGTATTTATCTTTCAAAAAATGATATTCGTTGGTTCAGTCTTTTGCTCGATCGCTCTTCAAGTTTCTCCCGCGTTCGTTTGATCAACCAGCAGAGTCTGCCGTCATGATGTTATTCAGGTAATCAGATCGCCAGGTACGCTGTTGTCACGTGGGTATGTTATCTGCTAAGTTACTTGAGTCCCGTTGTCAAACGAGCTAAGAAGCCGATAAACTGTTTTAAATGCCGTTCGGTATCGGAGACTAGGGAAACCGAATTATTACCGTACTTCGCGAAAGGTGGTGGAAGTGTTGAGTTCCCGTATGTCCAAATTAGGCGCACTTGAATGAACTTCAACGTACACCACACTCGGCCCCATCTCCATATTTAACAACAACTTAGACAGAATAACGCAGTGCCCTATTGTCACGTACATTTCATTTGCTCTTATTTACTTATTTAGTTACGATGTTTGATGAATTTTAATAAATTATCATCTCGTGCTTGAGTGAATAATACATTGCCCACAGACATCTATCAATCATCTTCTTGTAGGATTCTGTAAATTCAAGGAAATATCTCGTGAATTATGCACAACGTGTAGAAGAGTTGGCAAACGTTAAATATCTTCAACCGTGCCGGTGTGAGGTGTGACGGGGAGGGTGGCTTTGTATCCGTGTGGTGCAAATTCGATGGCTGCACATATATGGGGAAAGAAGATCACAATCACACATCTAGGAGAAAGATAAATAGACAGAAAGACTTCGTATGTCGGATGCTCGTCGTTAAAGAAGCTCATCTCGTTCATCTCTGCGTTAGATTTCCTTGTACGAAATAACATTTTAACGCCGATATTTATGCGTTTGAAGCAGTGGCTTGCACAGCCAAGACTTCCCAGTCTCTTTCAAAATGTCGATATTCCACTCTATTTCAACGTATACCCTTTCCAATACACACGATTTAACGTGCCAGAGTGGTGATGTAGGGGTGCGTCACGGTGAATGCCGCGCGTGGGGGTGGAGGGTGTGGCGAGACATTCAGCCTGAGTGCATGATTGGTGTTTTTTTTTGTCGGATATGAAAGGGAGGGATACCCATTGGGACGGTAAAGACAATATCATTTATAAAATCGGCAAGTATCAACACTACGCCCTCTTGAGGTGCGGAGAAGAAAGTGTATGACGGTAGAGAAGTTGTGTACCGCGAAAGAGGGTCATCCCTAGGACACGGACACGCGGGAAAAATCTGTCCACAAAATGTGCCGTTATTCAGACTCTGACAGACGTTTTAAAGTATAGTGGCACTTTTTCTTCCCCAAAAATGGCATTACACACTGGCCACAATTAGGCCACCGCCCCCACCGTAACACAACTATATTAAACATTACGAGCTCATCAGACCACACTGAACTGGAAGCTGTGGGACTCAAGTGTGTAATAACAAAATAACAACAAAGGTAATCTCACACTCTCGATCTACTTCTTCTCAATACAAGACAAACCACACTGTGGTTTTATTCACAAAGCACGCATCATGTGACTGTGACGGGCCTTCAACTTGTGAGTGCACGAGTCGCTCTGATTGCAAGGCAGTCCCTGTATGTTTCGATGTTAAAAACAGAACAGATAGAACACCACCTGTTTATTTATAATGTTATCACTACTCATTCTCTGACGACAATAATAATAATAATAACAACAACAACAACAACAACGACGACGACAAGCAGAAATAACGTGACAACAACAGCTGCAACAACACGGACTTGAAAAATGTGTATAGTGACGCATGCCCGAACTTCTATAGTCGCCTTTCCCGCGGCTGGCAAACAATATAATTCCAACGTAGATAGACGGTATTGCAATCATACATGATTAGAAACACATAAATCAAGGAGAAAGGAAACCCTGGACATGAAAACACGTCATGACCACATCAAATATGATATATCGTGTCTGTGTAATAAGGGGGGAAATTACAAAAAGCATAAATATCCCAATTACGACTATGCCAAATGGTATTAACCGACCCGAATGACCCTCGAACCGTTTTGTCTTCAGAATTAACAGAAATCCTGGTAAGCGTAAACTGTGGACCTGTTGTCAGGCGTTAAACACATGATGATGAACTGGCATTGGGAGATTTTGTCTACGTGTTTTAAAAAAAACTGTTCTGTTATTTTATTTGCAATACGAAAGTCATTAACTGAAGGGTCAATTCAATAACATGGTTTCTCGGCTTGGTTATTTTTTCAACCAATATTGTCGGAAGTCTGTGAATACTCCGTTTCATTGATAATGTAATTACAAATAAACTTTTTTTTCTGTTTGTTTTATTGTGTTTTCTCTGCGCTTTTCAAATGCTCAATTATTCGCGCACATAAGCGCAACATTGTCATAATTGAAAATGGTCGAAGCAATATGTTAATTCTCCATTCGAGTTAAACTGTATCTAAGCAACGGCAAGCCATGCGTGTGTGATTAGACGCGTCTGGAGGAAACACTTTACAGTAGTGCGCCCTCTAGTAAACAGTGCAAGACCGTTCACGGCCACAGTGAATAGAAATGTTCGAGATAAAACCAACCAACCCTGATATACCGAGAATACACGTGACTAGATGAATAATTGTATAATACGTTGATGTTCTACGTTCTTTCAATTTTCAGTGAATGTTTGTAACTCTGATTCACATCCACGGCCATAATAAAATTGTCATAATATTGTTGGGTTGAACTTCAAACTTGCCGGGAATGTTTTGATGTCCTGGCAAGTGAAATGGCGGTGTTAGACGGATTGGGGGTGGGTTGGGCGTGGGTGTAGGTCCAGAGTTTCACTGTTGATGGTCGCGGTGAGGAGATTTTATTATGCCTGCACAAATCCAATCAATATACCGGATACTGCTCATGTTAGAAACATTTAAATATTTCCGCGCGAATCACTGGAAATAATAAATGTACAATACCGTATGTAAAAATATTCATTAATTACTCACCATTTCGTCGCAATAACGTTTAAAAGAAAAAACATTCAGGTTGAAGTAAGTTTCAAGTTCCCAACTTTCAGTGGCGATTCACTTATTTTAGCGGCAGTAATTTAAACAAAGAGCGCCCCCATTCGGCGAAGAAGAAATACTTCTAAACGGCATCACCTTACCCATCCTGTTTACATAATACTAGTATTGCTTCATGCCGAATTCACTACATACACGTGGCATTGACCTTAATTGAAGTGCCACGCACACACTCAACATGCCAGCGTTCGGCCGAAATCGCACAACATGTTCGAAACAGTTCAAACTTTGCACAGCTGTGTCTCTTTTTAATCCTTTAAGAACATAATTATTTTCCAGAAAGCGTAAAATAGAAAACAGCATTGTGCCAGTAATTGAGCTGAGGAGTCCAGTGAATTGAGTAAACATGAACTTCTTCGTGTGAGTGTCAACCATAACCACTTGCCAGTGACGTCATCATTGCTCACACATACTAGTAAGTTTGATTTTACACGATAAATGAGAATGAAAGTGAATTATGAAAATACTCTCTATAAACTTGACCCGTGTATCGAACAGATCCAATGTAATATTCCCATCGGGAAATGCAATACTGCCTTACAACACCGGTTTATTGGGTTTATACGATAACATTAAAATATTGAGGTTTTCGGCTTTCTATTTTGGTTATATTTTTTTGTCCGGTTAATTAAAGTATTTGGACTGTCTACAGAAATGTCAGAGTGTGCATAAGAGCTCTTGCTGGCACATGATCAGGAGCACGACTTGAATATCTATGTCAGGTCAGATCGATAAATAATAAAAGTCATTAGTGAACATCTGTTTTCTCCATAATTCATTAATCGCATTACTAAAACTAAACGTATATTATGTCATAATCGTATTTATGAATTCATGACGTAGACGAAAGTATTCAACAGTAGCGCCACCCAACGACGCTAGACCGAAAAGAATAAATCGCGAAAACGAGGTTTGTTTGACCTTTACTCTTTGACAACATGGAGACGATCAGCTGGTTTCAAACTCTCGTTTTGTTTTTTCTCCCACAGCACTGTTACGATGAGTTTTTCGTCAAGTTCAACCTGCTCGATGGTAAGTTTAACTTTCCACATTTGAATGTACCGAGTTTGGCAGTTATACGGTGAGTTTCCATGGCGATACTTACCGTGACACGCATTGATTGCAGCGGCGCGACACCGGTATCAAACCCATCGTGTTTACTGTACTTTGATTTAACATAGTATTTACCCTGTCGTGTATTTGGTCTTATTTACTTGCTCAAAGTGGTCTATGCTCAAAGGCAATTTCCAGCATTATAATACCCTGAAAAAACAAACAAGTCAGTCATCAGTGAACTTGCGATCAGTCGGTTGAGGAACGGTGGATCAGTGCACCAAAAAAAAAAACAAAAAAAAAAAAACTCATCAACTGACTTTCAACCAAAGAACACAACATTTGTAGAAGTATGGGCAAGTTATTATGTCCATTGAAAACAGTCGCATAAACCAGCGAGTTACTCAAAAAAAAAAAACAGCAAAATATGAAATTCTTGCCTGTCATTGGACTTGGGGTTGAAGGCCCAATTGTTTATCGGAGGTGTGGCTATGTTAACGAGTGTTGTTAATCACTTGCATAGCCTTTGTTTACAGAGCCCCTTGTAGCTTATTTACAGCTGATAACACTAATCCTCAAATGCATCAATTATGTAGTTCAGGCACAGCTCCTTAGCAAGGGCAAAGACACTAGAGAAGCGAAATTGGTCACGTGACGACGCGGGATGCCAAACATCTGTTTGCATAGCGGTCCCGTCCCCCAAGAGATGTTGCACAGAACTTCCGTTACTTTCCTTTCATGTTTGCCGCAGTTGCATGTCCCTCTTCTCTAGTGTCTTTGGCAAGGGCTAAGAAGTCAAATACCTTAGCCTGTGCTAAGATAACATGCATGAACGCTTAGGACATATTACGAATTAAAGTGGTGTTAACGTTAGAGATCTCGGCGCGTGTGTGTGTGTGTGTGTGTGAACGGTCGGGACTGGGTTGGCATGTCCCAAAAAAAATTTGATCTCTGTCCCGATAGATGCTTGGGGCCAAAACTCGGCATGTGCCAAGATTTGTTGTGCGAATGTTTTACATGAGCTGAAATCACACGCTTGTGGTGAATTTAATAGAACATTTACAGAGGCATACTGGTATGTTATGATGATGGAGGGAAGAGAAGCTAAATATGGTCGGATGCTGTAGTCATGAACGAAATGAATGCAAACCGTCGTCAGCGATGCATAATTATGTGCTGCTGCAACCGGTATTTTCTTGCAATGCTGCATCGAAGTAAAAAAATAATTGTTTTTCAAATTTTCCTTTACCATTAAAGTGCTCAATGATGTAATGAATACCATAACAACAAATGGATATAATTTCAATATAGGAATTATTATTATCATCATAAGCGTATTGTTTTCCATGTTTTGGTAAAATAACCAGGGGTTTTTCTAGAAAAAAACTGCAAGAGGGAGCACTGCAATTCAGTGGCGCCACCAGGTCAGAAGTGGGGGAGATAAGGTGCTCCTTACCAGGGTGTAGAGTTTTTGATAATTTTAAGTTAAAATGGAGCATTCTATAGCTTCCTTGGGGCCAAAATTACTATCACATTTACAGCAAGTCTCAGAAGTATTGGGGCAGCCAATTTGCAAACTCGCTAGCGAATTGGCTAACTGCTTGGGTTTTGACTAAACGGTTGGCTTTCGAATCTCGCTGGCGCCGGTTTGTGATCGCGTCCACTCTTGGCGAGTCTATATTGCATTAGGGGACATGCTATGTTTTTACGCATCCTCAGGCTGGTACATGTCTGGATTCCCTTGAATGATTTGAGCCCGAAAATGGCCACAGTCAGCTGGTGTGATAATATTATAAATGCGATTAATCTACCGATATTTATTATATGAGGTTAACCTTCTCGAACACTGCTTGACACTAAATAGACAAGTTGAGAAACAGTTTCCTACAAATCAGGGAGAAAATAACAAACTTTCACAATCACGATCCGTTGGGATAACATTAAGCCAACCGCTGAAAAAATCGAAATCGCCATCCAACTGTAAGACCGTTGCCGAATAGCTCCTAAAGTATGAGGATCGTCCCCTACTGTTATATAGATTCGCCTTAAGTGGGCGTGATCACAAGACGGCGCCAGCAAGATTCGAAAGCCAATCGTTTAGTCGAAACCCAAGCAGTTAGCCAATTCGCTAGCGAGTTGGCTGCCCCAATACTTCTGAGACTTGCTGTAAAGACTGTGGCCGCATGTGATCCCTAGTCAATCAGAATTTTATGGTTGCCAGAGGATCTGCTTCCCAGGGTAAGGGGGCGCATGACCATGGCATGAGGACGCTGCCCCCTGTTCTCTTGTTTAAAAAAATCCCTGAGCTTTCTGTACTTTCAAAACTGCCCAGTTGTTTTTAAAACTACAACAAAATTAAAATAATAAATTTGGCCACCAGTTTTTAATCTAGTGGTATTTTTGAGCAAAATTGATCATAAAGTCAGTTTTGAATTCAGCTTAAAATAGCACATGTTTTGACCTGAAATTCAACTTTTTCAAAAGCATAGTGTGCGTTAAATAACACATGCATTCCTATAACATTTGTATAATCATGGCTACCGTGTTTGGTCACGAGTTTCCTATCTCACATTATTTACCCCATTCAAAAGTTCATAGCAGACTAAGCATAGTCATTCTCATGAAATTGAAATTATCATCCGCAAAAAAAGTGTTGAAATTTATATTTAAATTTGTGTGTTGAAAGTGGTGGAACTCTTCAAAAACATTGCCAAATGTTGTTAAATTTTCAAGATGTTTAAATTTCTATTCTTGTCTTGAGATTTAGAAAAATGCTGATGAAATATATTCTTCGTCTGTATGATCATTTGCACAATACAAATTGTAATATTTACACCACAAGCACCCTACCCTCGACACATCCCTGTCATCACGAGTCATCAGATTGAAAGCCTAGTCTATAGGATACCATGGTAGGACGCTAATCAGTACATTGTTGTTGACTAGAGAAGAATACACTATGTTACATGCTTTCAGTCTCTTCACCACCACATATACAAAAGGACTGCTGAAAAATTTCTAGTTCATTTTCAACTACTACCACAGAAAAATCTTCAACTATATCGCTAATGTCTACGGGAACTCATGTCACGCCTGATGCCATGTTTGTTACTCTGGTTCTGCACATGCGTTCGCCGTTGTTTATTCGAATAATTTCCAAAGTTTGTCGAAATACTCTGAATCCCCATTAAAAGATTAAGCAGATAACAGGAAAACAGACACCACATCGTTTGTTAGGCAAACAATCACCAATTATCATTGTACACAAAGGAAACAATAGGTGTCACTGCTACTTCTTTTGTTAGCTCCATGGATTAAGTAGGACACATACTTGTCAGGGGATCATGCATTTAATAATAATAATAAAAAAAAAACCTAATAATAAAAACAAACATGGCTGCCACCAGGGTTTGATTGGACTCCACACAAAGAAGTTCGCTGATTCTGTTATAAACTTTTTAGATTTTGGCATTCCCATGATGTATCCTTGGAAGGAAAAGATGTATACATGTGTGTATTAATTAATAAGGTTATTTTGAAGATACCTCAAAGTATGCACTCAAACAGTACACCATCACACTGACCTTCGCTGCGCGTCGGCCAATACTCCAGCTGTACTGTCTTTGTGCATACTTTGACGTATCCTCGTAATAACTTCATATTATAGGATGCCAATGCACTTACAAATACATGTTGGGAATGATTGCTGATGCTGAACTCCACCACTTTAATTTTAAGCAGGTAACATAGACCTGTCTGAGAGAATAGTTATGTTTCACAAAGCGGTGTGTTACAGAAATGTTAGTTTTTGAAAACAAACGAAACTTCCATATGACCTTAGCAATATTGTAACTATATTACAAAAGAATAGTGTTTCAGTTTGGACTATGAGTGAAAAATACCCATCAACCCACTAGAAATGACACAAGAAACTGTTATGCGTGAAAAGTAGGGGGATTGAGAGTCTCAGCGGGCAAGCGTCAACATCATGGCAAGGACGACGCGGTACTTGAGTGAGGGCGCCACCTAAGGGGACTCTGTGTGTAGGCGTCATTTAGGCCTACATGTATGTCCTGCTTCCAACTCATCTCGGGGACAAAGGCGATGTGTTGCCCAAACAGAGTATGGTTCCCTGTGTGACAATCCCCCCTCCCCCCTAGCTGTATTTATTGATAGATAAATGAGACATGAGTACAGGGGGAAAAAAAATCAAAATGACAAAGCAAATGAACGATGCTCACTGTGTGAATGCAGGAACTGAATGATGCGATGATGATAACAGCTGTGTACCAAGTAGACAACTTGGCGGGCCATGCAAGTTGTATTTCCCATCACACAATGGTGCAATCTCAAGGATTGTGGAGCCATGGTTCAAGTTTTATTGGTGTAGAAGAACTCAAAAAACAGATATGATTTACTAGTCTGTTCATATGCCTAGATTCATGGACAAACAATGTTATCACCAGTATTATTTAAATTTTCATTGTTTGTTTATCTAGGTTTGTCACCTACTATGTAAATATTTTAATTTCACAAATTTGTCAAGGAAACAATGAGTTTGTTGTTATTTTACATAATTTAGTGTAAAATACTTTATTTTTGCTTGGAATTAATTTTTGCTGAGGGGATGATTCAGTGAAAATAAAATCCAGTGAATATACCTTTTATCTTGTTAAAAACTTTTTAACTTTATAAAAATCAGTGAAAATAAATTCCATACAAAACACTCAAAAAGTCTTTTCAGCGAAAATTAATTCCAGCTAAAATAAAGTATTTTACAGTAGTGAACTTTACTTATCAGTGAAATTAAAACCCAGTGAACTATTAATGCATTTACCGTACAAATTTATTCCGAACGCAAAATTTTGTAGTCATGTTTTCAAGGAATAAAGTACAATTCTAAAATAGTGAAAATTTGCACTGAAAACATTTTACATCACTCAAGGTTGCAAGACTGGGCTGTTTAGCAGTATCAAAGCTTGGTAATTATATATGTGCCATGGTACATCACTTAAAAAGTACATCTGATTGTTCAATTAGCTCTGCTGCCTACCATAGTCTCTCCACCAAATTTTTAAAATGTTATTGGACACGCGGTTTTGTGTTCAATTTTTGTGACTTTTTCCACCATTCTGTATTTTCAGGAAAAATGTCAAAATCATACAAATCTTTATCCACTCACCTAATTTTGTATGTATAAGTAGTGGACACTGTCCATGTGCATTAAAGTTCAATTAGATTGGTCTTATCAGTTTGCTGCCATATTGGACCAATATCGGGAGTTAATTAAATATTACTAGAAAGCAATATATTATTTTCTGATACCCTGGTGGCTCATTCAACTATTGTTTTTGTAATTGGAGTTTATTATATTTTAAATTATATTTGTAATTAAATATTTGTCTTAGATGATATTTAATCACATTTTGTAACTTCTATGTTGTTAGTTATGGCATCTTAATGTATTTTTTGTCACTTTTGTATTGTAAAAGTTTGTAACCATAGCGATCATGTCATTACTTCAGATGTCTGAGATTGTTGTTGAAAGAATACCTGAGCATGCTGGTCAATAACCGCTATGTCAACTTAAACATAATTTTTCATAATTACTATTAGTTTTGTTTATTTATTAAGCTTCATCCAAAGGGAAAGTACAAAGGATAGGTTGAATGAATCAGGTTTTGTACTTTTAAAGGACGGTGGTCGTTGTGCAGTTCGCATTCAAATTTCATATAAATAAACAATGTATATTACATGCATTGTATATGTCGTTGTGAGTCCCATATCGAACAGGACGCGGCGTGATGATAGTCTGATTTTGCTGCCATTCTGCGTAAGTGTTTTATAAAAAGGGGACTTTCATCTTTTTGGTTGTGTAATATGTGTATATAAACACATGTGACTGATGTGACTGGTTTGAGTTTACTAAATACAAATTATGTAAATCATTTCAAACATTGTATTGTGGCCTTTATTCAAACCCAATTATCCAATGTATTGCCACATTGTTTGTTTAGTATTCATGTGATTGGTCTAATTCTTTATCTAACATGGAATAATGAAATCACAACCATTAGACCAATTAAGATGCTTTCGTTTATTGAATCGCTGTGACACTTCCATCTCAATTGAAATTAAATGATGTACCGGTAACTATTATTTAATGTCCTGTTATTATCAAAAGTCAGGTTGACAAAAGGTAACGTTTCTATATGATATTGTCTGAATATAACATGGCAAAGTTATTTATAATTTTGAGTTGAAATGATATACCCAATGAATATTCATCAGCATGTAGCATATTGCCGAAGTTATTAATAATGCGGTTGATATCGTATGCTCCACCTATATTATTAATGGTTGAATGTCCTGTAATTAACAGTTAATAATTAACAAATAATTAAGTCAAGTCAATAAAACTCAACTTCATTCAACTTTACATAATATATTCTGAATGTGATGGTATGGTTGTTTTAACTTTCAGGTCTTGCTTTTCGCTTATGATTTTTTTGCCCAAAATTAACAAAGAAGTTTATTAGAAATTCAAAAAAAACGTTGTAAAATGTTGCAGCGAAATATCCGCAAGAAAATTGATGGCGAACATATTGTGGAATCCATATTGTAAACCATGCTGTTAATTATTAGATACTGCACGTTCTGTTTATAGAGGGACTGCAGTCACCAGATGTTAAATTTAAATACACATTTTTTTTGCTGCAAAATGTGATTCTGAAATTCAGTCATAACCAGGAGACCTGAGAAATGTAATATAATTATAAACTCATAAATGAATAATTATTATAAACAATTTAAATTTGAATGTCTGAAAAATATGAATTGTGTAAAATCTGATCCACTGTGTATTTTTTTTGGAGAAACAAACTCAGTGAAAATTCGCAACGTTTTGTAGCAGCCAAAGTTTCTCAGATCCTACCACATTGGATATCAGTGACAGTCACAAAATTTTCCGTTCATGAATGCCATAAAATTCGGATATTACAAAAAATTCCACCTGGGAAAAATTACTGTAAATGTATTAATTATTCATTGGGTTTTAATTTTAATTTTGTTATTTTTTAAATTCCGCTAAATTAAATCTACGAGAAACAGGTAAAATAACAATAAAACTTGTTTCCTTCACAAATTTGTGAAATTAAAACACAGTGAATATTCTCAAAACATCAAATTAGTAAAATTAAATGTCAGTGAAAATAAATGGTTTTACAGTAAAAATTTTGCAGTGTATTGCTGACTATTAGGTCATACTTGTATGCATAATAAAGCAGATTATCCTTGCTCCTACGAAAATAAAATACAGTGACCCCTCGCTTATTTCCACCCCAGCAAATTGCAATATCACGGATAATTAGATGGCTAACAACAAATTGTAGATGTACCAGATGTCAAGTGGTACTTATGACAAATCAATACGCGATTTTCCAATATATTATTGCGTATATATAACCTTTCAATAGATCATTTCCCATTCCTTGCCAGATCCTACTCGAATGAAAAAAAACAAGACAAACAAAGAGCACAGCGTTCTAGTGGCGTTGAAACATCGCGTGGAATTCTATGGGACAAATGGGAAACTATTTTTTGAGGTTTTTCCCCACTAAATAATGTGCTATACACATTTTATGATGGAAAATTTTGATGAGGTAAAGGTATCTCAATGCCATATTGCTCTCTGAAAGAGGCATTTCAAAATAAAACAAATCAGACTTTCACATCTTTCACGTATTGCGGTACGCGAGATCTCACAATGAACGGAAAATCAACTATTAACTTTTAGTTTTAGAATTTATTAATCATGATCTTGATGTTTTTCAATAAGCAAAACATACATGTAAATTAATATGTGTGTTATTTATACATTTGCAATGCAATTCTCGATGCCCCTTGATAAGTTGCAACCCGTAATAAGTCACCTTATTTGCTTTGATCTCAATATTTACGACTTAGCGAGGGGTCACTGTACTTTTTAGATACATTATATATAAAATATGTTTTTGAAATGCAGTTGGTCACCATGAAAACACAAGAGCAAAATGACTTGATTTCCAAGAACACAGGGTGTTTGCATCAGACTTTGACAATACGCTATTATTTTACTTCTTCTTCAAAAATGCTACTCCAATTGCTTTCAATGATTCTTTGATACCCTACCCAAACTTTAATTGTTTTGAGCCACAGACTCAATGTGAATCATGACTCCACTGGCCAAGATTCATCTACTAATGAATGCGAATTTTAGTAAATTTGGTTAAGATTCGTGGGAGCTTGTTTCCAACCGGGCTTGGTTGACACCAGCAATAGAAAGATGATCAAGCAGCCCTGTCACGTAGTCTCAAACTGAATATGCTCTCTCTGGAAAAATGCACTATATGTCAGAATGGACACTTGCAAATTAAACAGGAGAGACAACAGTGACATTCAATGTATGAAACAAAAATATATTTAAAAAAAACAACACTTAAGTAGAATGTAATCAAAGCCAAGGTTATTTATTTACCCATTTTTTATTGCAAGACTTTGCTTTGCTGAAACAGCAGAGCTATTTGGACCATCATGTAAATAAGATAGTTCATGTACCAAGGTCGCAATTGAATACAGGATTGTTGTATAGATAGTAAAAATGGATTGTAATGTCCTTCAAGACATAAATGCAAATTTCAATGAAATGGGTATGCTTGAAAAACAAATTGAAAATCCTTGGTTCACGAATAATCCTTGCTGTGTTCAAGAATTACATTCTAAAAACGTTAGCTAAATATGTGTTGTTCATGTTTTTATTTTTGCATTATCTTTGTTTGTTTTACATAATTAATGAATAAGGCCTTACAAGAAATATGCACATACTGTTAGTTGGATACAGTCTTGGAAGGGTCTCGTATTGTTAACTTTCAACAAACAAACAAACAATCAGTACATTTATTCTTGTAGCTGTTAGACCACTTAAAAATTTGCTACAGTCACTTTGACATAAGTGCTGTGTATGCAAATTAGCTGTTATCCTTTTTTATCATTTTGTGCGAGTCTTGCAAATGTTTTGAAATAGTCACACTTTGTTGTCAATATGTCACTTAAACTTACTGGGTTGATGTCATTTGTTATCATAAATAGAACAACATCTAGTAAATGCTTGGTATGATCTTTTTCCCCCCCTTGATTTCCCCCTTCTGTTTTATTATTCATCATAAATAATTGTTTCTTTCTTAACAGTGCCCTGCATTAAAGTGGCCATCAGCAAAGGTCTTGGTATGGGCATTATTGTTGGTTCAGTCATAGGTAAGTGACTTGGTACAGTAAAATATTATTTCTGGACTCCAATCGCAGTCAAATTATCGACATAAATGATGTCGCACACGTGCACATTCATTTTGTTTTATTAAATACTTTCTCAGATTTTGTTTTAATTTGATGCAAAGGAAAGGCCTATATCTGTTGTATGGTCTCTCGGGTATTTTTGAATTTCCAAAAAAATGAAACCGACTGGTGGCCATTTTTCATAAGAGAAAAAGAAAATCCCAAAGTTTTATTGTGTCATCCACCGATTCTCAAATGTATCCGAGTAGATTTATTAGTATGAACATTACACATGATGAGTTATTCATGCACACCAGTTTGTTTTATGATTTGATTCAAAATGGCTGACTTGTGGCTATGTTGGTTTTATTTTTGCGTGTTTTTAACCAATTCTTGGACATGCTTTGGCCGATTTTGTTCAAAGTTGGTAAAAGACAAGACATGAGAGCGTGCTGATGTGAATTGTTCCAACATGTTATCGACCATTTCTTTGGTGTGCCTGGCTACTGATTTACATCATTTATTTTCAAGATTTGACTTAAAATTGGTGCATTCCACCCATTTCAGACAGGCAAGACGTAATGGTGTGAATATTTCTTGTGATCAAATTCAATGTGATACATCCACATCTCCTCCAATATTTGAATGCATCGCATTCACTGGGCAAATTCCATATGAATGAATCACATTCTTCCAGTGATACAATACAATCAAACATATCCACATTATTTAATTTTCATGGCATTTATGGCCATGTATTTTTTTTTATCAACGATTCAGACTGACATTTATGTCTCTTCTTTAAAGTAAAATGTCGTTCTGATTTCGAACATTTCAGGACTTATTGTGTTTACACTTTCACATATCATGTATACATGTGCACGTAAATTTCTATTACAATGTAGCTGTCATAGATCAAAATTAAGTTTTTATGGATTGAGACACACCTACAAGGTTTGCCAGAACCATATCCTGCTGTATTCCTTGACTGATTATATTTGCCGTCTCTACAATTAGGTTCTTATAATATTACCAATACAAAAAAATGAATTATTTAATTTCATACCAATAACTTTCACTGATGTTTTTTTTTTCCCCCAGAACAAATTAATCATTGTACGAGACCAATTTCTTTAGGAAAAAAGACAATAATGCTACTTCTGTTGTTGTATTTTTATGTTTTTTCAGTTAAATTACCTCAGATTTTAAAGATTCTTGCGGCTCAAAGTGGAGAAGGCATCAGTTTCATAAGTGTAGTGTTGGAATTGGTTGCAATCTCAGCTACATGGTCTTACAGTGTGGCAAGTGGATTTCCATTTGTGTGAGTAATGAGACTAATATTTTAATTTTATTCAATTACACAGAACCTATATAGTGAATCTGATGCAGCATCATGCCAATTCTAACACTCAAGACTTATTTTGATGAACATCCAATCACTCATGGTGTGCATGTCATTTGAATAAATTACAATACCGTATTTGTCACTTGCCATGTATTGTTTACAAATTACTTGTATATGCTAAACTTGTGTTTTGTCATTACTGTGTTGGTAAAAGTTTAATATTGTATTTCCTAACCCGAGAAGACACAACAAACTAGTTAGCACTGTTGTGCTTTCACTGGTACACAGGTGGATAGGAATGTCCGTTGTGACTTCCTTTCAGCTGATGTGCATCACGGAGGAATTGATTCCACTATACTGGTATTCTTGCTTTGGTATCTTTTTTCACATCTCCAAGTGAGCATCCACCAAGGATTTACCATTTAAGATAGACAATGTGCATTCAACAGGTGGTTATGTCAATTTCTGACATAAAAAAAATAATTCAGCAGGTGAATGTCAATTTCTGGCAAACATTTCGTTCATCAGGTGATTGTGTCAATTTGTGACATAAAAGTTTCATTCAACAGATGGCTATTTCAAATTTTGACAAAAGAATAATTCAACAGGTGGCTATGCCATTCAATAAGCCATTTTCCGCAAGTTGCAAGATCGTTGGACGATGAAACGCCAAATTTACGGAGAAAGTCTTCGATTTAGCGCCATTTTGAATCAAAACTTGACCTTTATCACATGA